TTTGGGGCTGATTAAACAACCTTAATTGAATGTCAACATTTGATAATATTAAAGAATGGACAGGAGTTGCTAGCTCTGGCAATTAATTACCTACACCTCGCGTGACACCGACGAGGGCAGTATGCAGAATTGGTGGCCAATTTCACTTTAGGTTTGTTACACTTTATCGTGGCTACGGCTTAACAAATTTTAATATGTATGGTAGGTTTATAACCCATTACAGATTTTTTACTTTTGCGGCTATTTACTAAATTATTATTATTAGTTATACCTTAATAAGGTACGGTATCTATAACACAATAATAATAATTTGTTTTCTCTTATTTAAACGTGTTAGGTCATTTTCTAACGAAGGTGAAGCAGCAGGCGGATGCTAGTTAATAGGTTAAAAGAGGACGAAGTTAATTTGTTCAACTTTGAACATGCTTTATCAGGTCAAAACATCAATAATAATAAAATATCGTACGACATTTAGTTAAGAATCACGCGATATTATAATTACCGCCTAATTAATTGTTTATCAACATGAGATCGTACCACAGAGTAATTAATAGGTAGGTACACTTCTATCGTACGATACGTGGATGGTATTCAGCATATTGTCAAAACGGTGATTGATAGGTATGTGCATTTTTATTTTGCGCCCAAGAGAAGAAGAATTAACAATGTCACAGTACATTAATGAAATTTAATTTATGATATTGATAAACATAACATTAATACGAGGAATAAAAATAAACTGGATGTTCTTGATAGCCATCTTCACCAAGCTACAAACACATTTATGGGGCAATGTATACTCCTATAAGATTCCGGATCATATTCAAAAGTTGCTATTCACGTCACGTTTAAAACTACTTATAGTGAAAAGAAAACTTTACACTCAAGGATATTATTTCTGCGTACTTCGATGACAAAAATCTTACCTGATCCGACCTAGTTTTAGCTCTCCATTAGCTCGTACAGGTGCAGGTTGTCTAGATATATGATAATTGAAATAAATATTGTAAATCATCATCATCAATCCATTTATACGTCCCTCTACTGGGCACGGGTCCTTTCAGACGAGGGTTTAGGCCATGGTCCGCCACGCTGGCACAATGCGGGTTGGGGACTTCGCACGTTTTCCGAGGGTTGTGAACCTTCTTCGCCGTGCAGGTTTCATCACGATGTTTTCCTTCACCGAAAAGCTCATGGTAGCTTTCAAATTAAGTTTCGCACATAAATTTGCAACATTTGTGCACATTTATTGTAAATCATAAATGTGTACAAATGTTTATTTACAAAGAACAACTACTAAGATATTTTTACTCATTGTTCTCAGGGGAATCTGTTTAACGAAGAGTAAGTAGGTAGTAGAGTTTGTTCAATGTGATGACTTCAATCACAGTTAGATTTCTGTGATTTCAAGTACCTAGTACCTGTACCTAACCATTACCCATCGAGTATATGCCATTACCTAACTATGAAATAGGGATTATTTGAGTTTGACAGTTATGAAGTATTGAGCGTCAAATGGCGTCAAAGATTTTTAATATCGTTATCATTACTTATTATGAAATAGTGCAATTACAATTCATAAGATACCAGAAAGACAATGTATTTATTTATGTAAGGTTATTATGACTTTGTTATTTTTTTACGTTATCAAACGGACGTTTCGTAATGAAATAAAAAATGGTTTATGCCAAACTCTTCAGCCCCAAAACATTAAATTGTGTACGACAAGTTGCATGGTTAAAAGTTGTTTATACAAAAAAAATCTAATCAAAGCATTAGTGTTACTTGACATTCACAACGCTGAAAAAACTATTTCATAATTCAACAATTAATCAAAAAGAAAAGAGAGTTGAAAACGGTTTCACATCTTATCCTTATTATTATTGCGTATTTATTTTGATCAGATGACCTGTCGAACTGTGCGAGTGTTATTTCAGAAGTGATCTATTTCACTCGATATCAATGTTTGTCTGTTCCTACTGTAAATAGATAAAACTGTATGTGATTGAATCGCGAAAATAAGCTCCTTACCAGTTGTGAATGAATGAATAAAATGCTCGTATCAGCAAGACTCCGAAATTTCCTTAGAGGATGAAAAAAAATTAATATTCTAAGGAACTTTCGACTACTGATAAAAGTATTACGTCAATAAATTCAATAAAACGATTACGTGAAACAAAAAGGCATTGTATTAAGCTCCATTGCCGATCGTTGCTACAGTTACTGTTGAAGTCTGTAGGGCTTCCGCGAGAGCGATTTATAGCGCGAGATACTGCTACTCGCTCTAGTGATTCATACCGCCAAAGCGAAAACTAATATAGTTCTCTTTTTGCGGATAACTCGCATCTATATAGCTACAGGTATGTGCAACCAGAAATAGAGACGAAATGCCATTTAATTTGTTTGAAAACTATTCTGCCATATATTGGTAGGTCAATGTGCCATATCATTACTGTAACAACTGCGCTCCGATTGGCTAGCCCGAGTTCGAAACAATTGACGGGTGTCGTCAATTGTTTCACTTCAATACGACCAGTTAACTTGAGCTTTGCTATAATGGACGAAAATTGCAAAATACATATATTTAATAACGACAAAATGTGATTCCTTTTGTTTTATAATTAGATGTTTTGCTGTTTTTCCCACACCACCGAATAGAACAGCAGGGCATTGTTAGAGATATTATCTTTATTACAATAAACACAGAGTATTTTTTTGGAATATACGGAGACGTACACACAGGTCAGTAGTTGGCCTGTTTATATTTCAGTGCAAACGAGAGTTGATATTTATAAGAGCTGTATCGCTAATGTGTTACCAGGAATATATGGCCCTTATTTCGTCTCTATTTCTGGTTATACATATACTCGATGGCTTTTAATAAGTACAATTTTTATTAATAATATTTTGTTAAAAGAATTTTTAACTTTACGTTCAAAATATTTTTTTTATTTTCTGTTGGTTAACTCACTTATGCAGAACACTGTCCAGTTATCAATGTTTAAAGTTTAAACTTATTTTCATAAAGAATAGTCTAAAAAGTGATGCAACGCAAAAAAATAAGAATACTCGTTTCTAGATCTAGACAAAATGACCCCGTATAAACCGATATTATGCACTATGATGTAATTACCTGCGATTTTTTTTTTGTTCAGGTATTAATGAGAAGGGTTGATCCTAAAACTTCAACCTGTAAAAAACTTGCCTAATTACTTACGACGACCTCCGTGGTCGAGTGGCTTGCATGCCGGTTTTCGTGATGTCGCCATCTCCGAGGTCCCGGACTCGATTCCCGTCCGTGGCAATGTAAAATAAATAAAAACCGTTCAATATTGTAGAGTCTGGGTGTTTTTGGTATCGTCGCAGTTTCCGATTTCCACTAAGTAACACAAGTGCTTCAGTTGGGATCAGAGCAACGTTGTGATGTTGTCTAATATTTACTTCTGATCGATTTTAAAAACATTTACGGGCTTCTCCAAATGCAGATTATTACTGGCGCTTCGGGAGACATTAATTCGAGCAACTATAGATAGAAGTTTGTAGTATTTATTTTTTATTACTTAGGGAATTTAAATGTAACTTGGTGAAACGACCGATCTCAAATCCACTTATTTTATATCAGTTTAAAAGAAATAAAGTAAAAATAAAATTATCTTGTTTTTAGTAAATGTGCCTTAAAGGATGGAAAAAAATAAAAATGTGCCGAAGAGACTCGAGGTTTCTAGATTCTTTTTTTCATATAAAATTTTGACTTACAAACGAACAACCTGTATATCGACCCGGAT